ACATCAGAAAAATCAGAGAGATTTCAAATAAACTGTTGGTGAACTTCAAGTATTAGAAAAATAAGTAAAAGCCAGAAAATGGAAAAAAAGTAATAATAAAAATCAGGGTGGAAATTAACAAAATGGGAAGTTAAAGTCCAGTGGAAAGAATCAATGGGACAAAGAATTGATGATTTGTAAAGACAAATAAGTTTACCAAACTTTACTCAAACCAATCAAAAGAAAAACAGAGAAGACTTAAGTTAATATAACTAAGATATTCAAAGCGGAACATTACACAATTTACCACCAAAATGCAGAGGATCATTAAGGAATATTTTGAAAAAAAACTGAAAAAGTATTTCAAAATATTGTATTCCAATAAATTAAAAAATTTAGAAAAGCAAGGATAAATTTCTAGAAACACACAACATACTAAAATTTAATCAGAAAGATATAAGAAAAACCTAAAGACCACAACCTTTAAAGAAAAAACCTAAAGACCACACCTTTAAAGAAAAAAACAAATTAATGCTCCTCAGCTATTACATGAAAAAGAAAGGGAAGAAACACATCCAAAATGAAGTCACTATTACACTAATACTAAAACTGAATAATGAAAATAGAAGAAAATTATGCATCACTACAAGAACATAGGCACAAAAATCCTTAACTAAATATTTGTAAAGCAAATTCAAGAACATATTGAAAACATCATACACCATCATGAGATTTCATTCATTTCAGTGGTACAGGTTCTTTGAGCATATAACCCTAAAGAGAAAACAGAAAAGCATCACATGGATCACATCAGTAGATATGGAAAAAGCCATTGCCAAATTCCAGTGTCCCTTCATGACAAAAGCTTGAAGAAACCAGTAATTTAGGGAAACTCAGCATCACATGAGCTATATATGACAAACACAAAGCCAGTATTACACTGAATGGGAAAAATTTAAAGCCTTTCATGTAAAATCAGAATGAGAAAAGGTTGTCCACTCCTTCTACCGTTATTTCATAAATTGCTTTGATTCTTAGACAGAGTAACAAGGCAGAAGAAAGAAATAAAAGGGATATAAATGGGAAAGGAAGAAATCAGATGACCTCTACTTAAATGATAGAATCCTATACATAAAAGACTCTACAGACTCCACTAGAAATCTCTTAGTTATGATAAACACTTTTGAGCATAGTAGCAGGAAACAAAATCAATAAACAAAAATCAGTAGCTTTTTTATAAACCAATAACAATTATGCTGAGAAAGAAATCAGGAATGAAATCCTCTTTATATGTGAAATCTTCTATCTATGAAATCCTCTTTTCTCTATATGTGAAAGTTAAGAATATATACAATCGTGTATGGAAAAGTATTGTATAATGGAAACTATAAAATGAAATAGATATAAAGCAATGAAACATATAAATTTCCCATGTTCTTGGGACAAGCAGATTTAATAGTGTTAAAGCAGATTTAATAGTGTTAAATGGTCAATTTCCAAAATTGATCTATATTGCAATCCTAATAAAAATTTCCTATGATATTTTTCACAGAACTAGAAAAGGAAAACCTAAAACTAATATGGAAACAGAAAAGTCACACAAATTCACATCCCATTCTGAAGAAAAATATTAATGTCAAGGGAACCATCATACCTAGTTTTAGAGTATGCTAAGGAGCCACAGTAAAACAACAACAACAAACATGGGACTGGCACAGAAATCAACCTGTACACCAATGGAATACAACAGAGGACTCACAAAAAAAATCTATGCAGCTATAGTCATGTTTCTCAGCAACATTTCCAAAAGCATAAATTAGAGAGAAGACAGTCTTTTCAACAAATTTTGCTCGGGAAATTTGACATCCAGACGTAGAAAACTGACACCAGAATTCTATGTCTCACCTTATCAAAAAATCAATTCAAAATGGACAATGACCTTAATGTAAACTTTGAAACTACTATAGAAATATATAAGGGAAACACTTCAATATCTCAGAAATTATTTCTGAATAGGACTCCAACAAATCCAAAAATATTACTCAAAATTGACATATTGAGTTTTATCTCATTAAAATGCTTCACATCAAAGGAAATAATCATAAGTAGAGTGCTTACAGTATGGTAAAAAATCTTTTCCAACTGACATTTTACAAGGGGTTATAATCTCAACTTATAAAGAACAGAAAAATACTCAAAACAAATTATCCATTCAATAAATTGGCAAATCATCAGAATAGATATACTTTAAAAGAAAGAAATAATAATGACCAATACATAAAAAAAGTTAAAATCTTTTAGCCATCAGGGAAATGCTAGACAAAGCTATACAGATATTCTATTCCACCCTAGTCAGAATGGTTTTCATAAAGAAAAAAACAAATGCTCGCAAAGATATGTCAAAAAATGAACCCATATATACTCTTGGTGTAAAGGTAAATTAGTCCAGCCACTATTGAAGTAGTATGGAATTTTCTCAAATAACTCAGCACTATCATATCATCCAGCTATACCACTCCTAGGTATATACCTGAATGACACAATTTCAGTATGTAATGGAGATATCGCATGCCCATGTTTATTGCTGCACTATTCACAAAGCCAAGTCAGGTTACCTGCCTGACTTGGGGTCATTCCATGGATGAATGGATAAGGAAAAGGTGGCACTATACATAACAGAGTATTGTTCATACATTATGATGAATAAAACCATTACAAAATGTATGGATATGGAAATCATGTAAAGTAAATTAAGTCAGACTCAGAAAAAAACTGCAAATTTTTCTCTTCTATGTGGGTTCTACATTATAAAATACAACATTAATTCAGAGGGGGGGACTATTTTGGAAGGAGACAGCAACTAGCAGAAGGGCAGGCAAGAGCATTTAATTGGAGACATAATCAAGACGAAAATACATCATATACATTCACTAACTGTTACAATAAACCTATTATTTTGTACACTATAAGTTATGTATATATATATATAACTGGCACATGAGTGAAATGTCAATAGAAGTAATGAAAAATCACTCCATAATGAGGCAAGCGTTATAGAAAAACAAGGAAAGAAATAGGTAAAGAGCAAAGATTAAAATGTGATGAGCTAAGAATTTATCTGGATTACTATTTAAATTGGAAAATATTTTAAATGTCCGATCACATTTTGACCTCTGCTATGACACAGTATTAATACAAGAATTGCCTGGTTACCATAAACAGGTTTATATTGATCAATGTTGATTTCAGTGTTGGGGAACATTGCATGAGAAAAACACATTCAAGTGATTTGATAATCACCACAACTATTTAACACTTTTTTTTAAATGTATATTTTTAATGCTTTTTTAAAAATTCATTTATTCATATGTGTATACATTGTTTGGGTCATTTCTCCCTCCTCCTGCCCCCTGCTTCCAGGAAGAACCATTATACTTTAATTTGAAACCTCAAGGTTACATTTTGTCCCTTAATTGATGTTGGTTTTGTAATATACGAGTTAGCCTGTCTCAGCTAACTGAGTAACACTGTATTCTAAAAATTTGTCAAACTTGTAAAATATAAAAGTAGCATCTTTATCATTCTAACAAATTATTTCTTGAAATTTCAGGATATGAGCAACACCTTTCCATGAATTATTTTTATATCTGTGGCAAAACTTATTTTAGATGACTTAATGAAAGGCTCATAATTATCTTTTATTCTGATGTTCAATTTACACATTCTCTGATTCCCCATTTACTTCATTATCCTGGGAAAATATAAACAATGAAATATTTGAGGTGTATTGTCTTATAGTCAATCTTTTTCATTCTTACTCACAAAACCTTTAAGGTGATTATATACAGAGGAAGTGAGCTTTTGGTCATTAAATTAATTACAAAATCCTTACTAGTGTCAGGGCTGATTTTGTCATTTTTGTTCTCATGTTTCTTTAATAAAATTTTAAAAATATGTAATAAAATGTCAAGTCACATGACATGAGCACAGCATGTAGATGAATTAAGTGACATTAAGGAGGCAGAATGGAGAATTTGCACATCCTTTTCCCTCCGGTTGTGTGTTTACCTGCTGTAGAGCATGAGTTCACTTACTGGATGTTGGGATGCCAGCCAATACAGTAGATGAAATTGTGGGTTTTTAAAAATGCTTATTGTAACCTAAGTCATAGTGTATGATGAATTTTAGCTGTACAATGAGCCTAAGGTACTGAATCCAAAGTACAGGAATATTATGCCAATCGACACGTGTATCACCAGGGAACTATTATGTGCACTAAAAGAAATCATTGAGAGAAATTAGAATTATGTAAGAGAATGGTGACATTTTAGAACTGCTTTCCTTTACTTTTTAAAATTTTGGTGTATTTTTTTTTGGTATTCATCCTGGATAATGGCAGGTGAAAAGTAGTTCTCTGAAAATTTATCTTTTACACTACAAACATGTCCTGATTTGATAACTATGCTAAATACTATACTTCATATATTTATGTTGTTAAGAAATAAATTAGCATTTTCAAGAACTATTGCACCAAATAAGGAGATCTATTTATTATATTCTTCATTGTGGAGCTTTTGTGTAAAAAGGCAAATCGTTTTTACACTTGGTCCTTGAAATTTTTTTCTTGAAAGCACAGCAAATCATCCTCCTTGGAAATTTGTCACTGAGGATGACAAACTATTGCATCATCCCCATGCCTTTTAAGCAGGGCGTTCTGGTCTTATGTGGTGGGAATCAGGACACTCATTGCTCTATTTATCTTTCACAGTAGCAACTTGGGATGTCTTTTCAGACTCTCCATGTGGCCAACGTGACGGAATTTTGTTAGGTGACTTAATTTATATCAGGATAAAAATAGGGAATGGAGTAAAATACGAAAATAAACCTCTCAAAAAAAAAGTTCAATATATATGCTCAGCTCCTCAAATGCATTTCATAATCTTTTTGAGAGAAAATTGAGGAATTAACAACTTTTTTTGGCAAATAATATTGGATAAAGTGTTTACTGTTTCTCCACAACTATGGTTCCAAGTAAGTATGGTTCATAAAATTCAAATCTTGTCAGGTCAGATTAAACGAAACAGGGGCTTTGTTAGAAGAATATTCATATACCATGAGTGATGTCAGGATCTGTAGAAACAAATGTAGAGTTCATTGAATTAGAGGCTACAAGCAATGTTCATATTTTGACAATAAAACTTTACTTGAAATTTTAGTTGAAACTGGTCAAGTAAGGAAAACAATATATTTTCTGTGAAATAACACTTAAATGTAATCTATGATCTTAATTCACCCTAAAAACTAAATGAAAAAGTGGTTAGTGTATAGATAGTGTTAGACCATATTGCAAAGAAGAACTTAATGGTACATGTACATTGTATGATGTCATTGTATAATTTATACCTCGCTTTTTGTTCAGGTTTGCTGAACTAATTATAAATACCACACAGAAACACAGTAGAATAAACATGCTCTTCAGAGTCAAAGTACGGAGATAAAATCAGAGTCCAGATGATCTGTACTGCTTTCGGATAGGTTATATGAACATTCTCAACCTTCCTTTTATCTAAAATATCTGGGTAATGTTAGTACCTATGTAGTAACATTTCATATAGATTAAATGTGTTAATAAAAAGCATTTGGAACAGTATTAGATTATTGTAATTATGAAGAAAGTTACATTTACTTATATCATAATTAAAAGTCATTTTATAACTATATAGTTTGTGTTCAATTTTTAAGTCTCATTTTGTAAATTTATGATCAATTTTAAGGAAATGTAAACTAAATATAAAAACGTTTGACCAGTTATACAAACTAAAACAAGTTTAAAGTCACTTAAACTAAGTTTTGACTTAAACTTCTCAACAATTTAGGGCAGTACAGTATAAGTACCTGTAATAACACAAACATGCCTGATTTCATCCTGATGGGGCTGACAGACTCGGAAGAGATCCAGCTGGTGCTCTCTGTGCTCTTTCTCCTGATATACCTGGTCACTGTGCTGGGGAACATAGGGATGGTATTGATCATTCGCCTGGATATCCAGCTTCACACTCCTATGTATTTTTTTCTCAGTCACCTGTCATTTCTTGACCTCTGTTACTCAAATGTCATCACGCCTAAAACCTTAGGTAACTTAGTGACTTCCAAAAAGAGCATTTCATTCACAGGCTGCTTCACACAGATGTACTTTTTTATCCTGTTTGGTGGTGCTGAATGTTTTCTTCTCTCCTCAATGGCCTATGATCGCTATGTGGCTATCTGCAATCCTCTCCATTATCCACTTATTATGTCCACAAAGCTGTGCTGTGCCCTCCTCACTGTGACCTATCTGATTGGATTCATAGATTCCTCTGCCAGTGTGTTTTGCATAACTAGATTGCCTTTCTGCAAATCTAACATAATCCATCACTTTTTCTGTGACATAAACCCAATTTTCACCCTGTCCTGCGAGGACACTTATAACACTGAAATTGTGATATTCATTTTTGCTGGTTCTACCCTAATGATGTCCCTTATCACAATAGCTGCATCCTATGTGTCCATACTCACTACTATTCTGAAAATTAATTCCACCTCAGGAAAGCAGAAAGCCTTTTCTACCTGTGCCTCCCATCTACTGGGAGTCACCATCTTTTATGGCACTATGATTTTTACCTATTTAAAACCAACTAAGTCCTACTCACTGGGAAAGGATCAAGTGGCTTCTGTTTTTTACACCATTGTGATCCCCATGCTGAATCCTCTCATTTACAGTCTTAGAAACAAAGAAGTGAAAAATGCTTTCAATAGAGTCATGCAGAAGAGAGGGGTTCCTGGCAGTTAAAATAACCTTTATGCTAAGCCTTTAAACTCTTCTTTTCTTGGTGTTTATATAAACAATCAAATTGTTTGTTTATATTTCTGGGGAGCTACCCTTATTTTATTATCATGTGATGGGTATTTCTAAGAATAAATTTTAGGTAATATACTATGAGCTTTTTTTTTTTTTAATTCACATGTGCATGCATTATTTGGGTCATTTCTCCCCCCTGACTCTCCTCCACCATTCCCTTCCCCCTGTCTATATAACAATCAAATTGTTTGTTTATATTTCTGGGGAGCTACCCTTATTTTATTGTAATGTGATAGATATTTCTAGGAATAAATTATTATAAGTCCATTTGATATTTTAGGTAATATACTATGAGCTTTTATGGACAGCTAAAGTGCAAAATATAAAATTTGATTGCAATTGTTAAAATATTTCATAAAAAATTCAATGTATGATACCTTTTTTATCTTCTTATTAAAAGATAAATGGGTAAATGATAATAATTTTAGTTAACTTTCCCTCTAAAATATGGAATGCTTTCTTCCCTATAAGCCATAATAAGTCACTGAATTTTTAAGCATAAATTTCCTCAGTGCATAAAAGAAATCCTAACTCCTGATCAATGTTATCAGATGCAGGATGAAATGGATTTAAGGCAATAATCATGTTTTTATAATTTATCACTGCAAGTCAATTTCCTGCAATATTGCATTGCATTTTTTTTTTTCTGGTTGCACTCGGTTGATCTCAAGTCTTTTCTTGGCAGGCAGATGTTTTTCCACTTGAGCCATACTGCCTGACCTGACCAATAACTCTTCTGCAGAATGTCCACTGTTGTGTTGTAAATCACTTGCAATAACTCAGTTCACAAACTGAAACAGAAAAGAAAAATAACTCTTTAGCTCCCCAATTTTTATTTAGCTTGAATTATCAAAGTAGAATTAAATTGTAGAAAATTTTACATGATAATATTGATAACAATTTATAAATTATTAAAATTTATTAAAGAGAAATATTGTAACAATTACCAGTAGCTTTGTGCTTTTTCTTCAAAATGTCTAACTGTGAATGTATACATGACATATATAACCACAATTTGTGTCATTTTCTATGTACTCTTCCCAACTTTCTGCCTTCATTTAAAAAGTGTAACATTTGGTAATGATTTTTTAAAAAGGAGAGCTGGGAGGTGAACATGTTCTCAGGATTTAGGAAAAATCAAGACACATTTTGCACTGTTTGGACTTGAAAAACTGTAAAATTCCCAAGTTGAAAATCTTCATATGGTGCCATCTTTTATGTATGTACCTGCTAAACATTTGAAAACCATTCCTTTCCATAACATATCACGTGGCTTTGGTGATCTGATTCTTTGCCCTTAGCTGACTTCTTCAGGTTTGTAATATTCTTCATTACTAAATTCCTGAGATAAATGCATGACTCACCTTTTTTATATTCTAATGAAGTAATGTTATCAAACAAATATTTGGCACTGAATTTACATTTTGTGTTATCCCATAAATTTTGGTTAGGTAGAATCCTGTAATTCACTTTATTGTCAAATTCTTTCTATGCATTCTAGAAGGTTTTAATTTTCTTTGATATTAATGGTTGATTTGTAGGGTATAGTCCTATTTTCCATTTTTGTTGTTTAAAATTTTGCTATGATTAATATATAGAATGTTTGAAATCAGCCCTTATGATTTTATAAATTATTATTTAAACTTTTCTTAAGGATTTTTTATGTAAAATTACATTAATTGTTTCTTAAATGTTTTCCAAGCATTTAAAATTAGGTAGAATCTAACAAATATAAAGTCCCACATTAAAAAGAAATGAATGAATGAAAAAGTGCTCTATTTTTAGCAATTAACATTTAGCAATTTTTATACAATTTCAAAACTGTCAGCTAACTTACTATATCTTTTAACGTGTATTATATTCTGCTACTTAAATTCTTTCAAAATTTTGCCGTGTCCTACATCAAAGCTATCAAAAAGAATTATGACTCATTTTTACTTTCTTTTCTGTGTGCTGTAGAATTTATATTTGTTGGTATTTCTATATATTTTGTTTGAAATTAAGAATAGTATTTTAGAAAGCATTAATCCTTTACTGAAACATTCTTTAACTCATCTCTGATCTTGTAAATGCTTTACTTAATTTAATACATTCATAAATTCTGTCCTCATTAGTAGACATTCTTACAACATTTTTCATTTTCTATGATTTAGAATATTTATCTTATTTGTTTGTGTTGGCAAAAATGGTTCATAGAATCTATAACATTATAGGTAGTTATTAAGTTGAGAAAATATTTCAATTTTAACCAAATTAAGGCTACCTTATATTGCTTATATTATAGGTAAAAATAATTTGTAAAATGTTATGAAATAGTTCTATTATGTAGGTAATAGAAAAGATTTAAAGTATTTACATTTTCCCTATAATTTCAGTATTACATCAATGCATATTATATTTCTTATAAGATGTTGTCTCATATAATTAAAGATACAATACTTTGGCTCATGATCCCATGTCTAAATGTTGTGTAATATAAACATGATTTATAACACATGTATGTAAATGCAAAAATGACACCTGTTGAAATTATCCTGGGAATTTGGGGTGGATAAAGGAGAGCAGTGAAGGGGATAAATTCAAGCATGTCATATTTAATACATTGTAAGAACTTTTGTAAATGCCATAATGTACCCCATCCAGCAAAATAATAAAAAAAGAAAGAAATGTCTTTTCTTTCAGTAATGTCTATTCAGAAATGTCTATTCTTTTCAGTAATAGCTAAATATAATTATCTATTTTTGCTTTCAAATAATTAATTGGAAGAAAGAAATAGTGATAATATATTGGCTCAGAATTAACTATGTTCAGACAATATCTAAAGAGCTTTAGATATAAAATAAACATATTTTCTGTTTATAAGACTATAGGAAGGTGTAGGCATAATGATTAATAAATTTTACAATCATGTAATACAAAGCCATCCTTTCTTTGTTGAAGTAAATGCTGATTAATTTTCCCAGAATTTTCTTTATATATTATAGATGTCACAGCCATTCCTTCAGTGTGAGTTGATTCTATACATAGAGTAAATCTGGAGTTTGTATCAAAATTTTCTCTATTACAATACTAGTCCAAGGAACTATCACTTCAGCTTTTAAATTATTGTCGTAGTAATTTTTCTCTTTGTCTGTAGTTTATTCTTATTCCCCTCATTAAAAACACTGAAATTAGATTCAAGAGGAATAGGATAAACTGCTTGAGTGACAATGCTAAGTAGTAGATTGAATCATTTTCTTCCAAAACCTGTAAGACCTTTATCACAAGTAAAAGCCAACATTTTGTATAAATGCTACTGGTAGAAAATATCCTCCTCCCTCCTTGCATCTGAGTTCATTTCTTATATCTGCCATGCTCACTTGTTACTATAAGAAATCCTAACTTTTCCCCGCAAATTTTAGTCCTGATATTGAGTGGAACTTTTCCATTTTCTCTCAGTCCTGAAATTTCATGTAAATGATTAGGTGGTTTTTTTATTTCTGATTCCTTTCTTAACAAGTCCACCCCTCACCACTCTGTTTAAAACTACATCTGCCCAAATCTCTCCCAAGCTTCATTTGTAGTACTCAGTATTTATCATTTAGCATTTAATTCACTTTTCACTTGCCCTGTATTTTGTGTGTTGTAAATGTGATTAGATAACACTATGAGCATAAGATTATTCTTACAACCTGGAAAAGAGCCTCAATACTTATATTTAGCAGCTTGATCTTGTAGATGATAAAACTGAAGCACAGAGTAAAGAACTTGTTCAACTAGTTATTGAACAAACTGATATTTTAACCCAGACACATGACTGTCTTGTCTCCATCATTCATCACCATCTTATTGTATGACATTATTCCATAATATTATCCTGCTATAATCAGATTGGGTTACTTTATTAAAGAGAGAATGAAGTGAATAAAACAGGAATCTTGTAGTTGTCAAATGTTTTATAGAGGTGGGGATATAAAATAATGTGATTTAGAAAGAATTATATGAAACTTCTCAAATTGACAATCACATTTTTTCAGAGAGTAAAATGAACTTCGCAAGGTAAAAAACAATTTATGGGATGAAGGCATAGTCCTGGTGAGGGAAATAGTATTAGTTAGAATACTGAATTTCCTAGTGTAACAATGAGATTCAGAAACAGTGGATCAAAAAGTGAAAATATTCTTGAATATGCACTGCAGTTTTCAGTGTTTTATCCATATTGTTTTTCCTTTGAATATTTTTCTTCCTTTAGTTATTTTGGTGAACCTCCACAATGATTTGATAAATTAACATACATTCCTACAAAGGATATATAATGGTACCGTTTGTTCCAGATCCTCACCAGAATTAGTTGTTATTTGTTTTCTTGGTGGTATCCTTTCTGATAGTGATGTGACAGAATCGCAATGTAATATTGATTTGTGTTTCCTGATGGTACAGGATATTAAATTTTTTTCAGTTATTCTTTAATCATTCATTCTTCTTTTGATAACCATTCATTTAGTTTGGACATTTATTGATTGGATTTTTGTTCTTTTGGTGTTTAATTCTTCAAGTTATTTCTATTCTGTAAAATAATACACTGTAAAATGAAAGCTGGCAAAGATTTTCTACCATTCTGTAAGCTTTCTCTTTACTTGTTTCCTTTACTGTGTGGAACTTTATAATTGGATGCAACCAGATTTTTCATTTTTTTCTATTATTGCCTCATCTTTTAGAGTCTTATTCAAAAAGTCATTGCCTATGCCTATATCTTGAATTATTTTCTTTAAGTTTTCTGTAGTAGATGTCAAATCTTCAGTTCCTACATTAAAGGTTTTGGTCCATTTTGAATTAAAATTTGTATAGGGTAGGATGTATGGATCTGGTTTGTGTTTCCTTTCTTTCTTTTTCTTTTTTTTATTATTTTGCTAGGTGGGAGTACACTGTAGCATTTACAAAAGTTCTTACAA